CTACTTTGATTTTCTAAACGGCATTTTGGATAGGAAATACTTCGTTAGAGCAAAACCGTTTTACCACCCTAATTCACTAATTCACTGGCCTGCTCATTCGTCGTGCTTAACGTTGCGCCTATATAGATAATTGGAATCGAATATCTAATCTAATAACATAACCTAATCTAGTTAGCGTTGATGTATTTTAAATAATTCATACTAGGTATTAAAAAGGTACTTTATTTTTCAGGAAATCTATTACTATAGCATATAAATACATAATTTCAATAATCCGCGAAAATTGAATATTATTTTGTACATTGGTTTATTTAAAATTTTAAAGAATAATAAAAACAAACGAACGCGTAGTATCTCTTCTGAGCTTTAAACGCCCTTAAATATTTATACGGATTCATTTCTCTCTTAAATAATATTTATCCCTCGTAATTTAACATTCACCTACAAACCGGTAATTGGCTCTAACGGTATAATGTAACTTCAATGTTAAATTTAATTCATTTAATGGCTTATATAAAAAAATAAATACTGTATTTTTACTTACAACAATATTATTTCGCATAGAACACGTACAATGTTTACAGCAATAATTGGTTTATTTTATTAATTTCCGTGAAAAAAAAACATAACAATAATAATAATACCACTAAATATATACTCAACGGTGACGTATAATATAAATTATACATAATGTATATTCATTATGTTTTTCACCTCGTGTTCAGTGTTTCAAATATGAAAATATGAATGCGTTGACCCACATTTGCAGTCTAATAAAAAATGTTCAATTCGACCAATACGGTCGATTTCCTTTGTGTAATTAAAAAATAATAATTTAAAACACGCTTTGAGAAAACGTTCCAGTTTGTGTTAATGAATATTATTTACTCAACACTAGTTAGACGATCGCAGTGCGCGATAATTCACGTGACGTCGTCCACTATATTGATGTCACTTGATCACGCAATAAGTACTAATATACTTATATTATATGTATGCCGATGTATCGATTTTTTTTTTTTTTTTATCAGTTAAATACTTTAGAAAAATTATCGAGAATCTCGGAAAATCATTCAAATATGAAGTACTGTCAGGTGAATAATCCTAATTATTTATGGTATGTGAGAGAATCGGGCATTTTTACTAACCAATAGTGTTTGTCAAGACAAAGAAAAAAACACACACACATATTTTAGTAAAACTACGAATAATAAACAAATAAATACAAAGTTAAGAAAATATTGTGTACATCGAAATAGACTAATAAAATGAATGTGGGTAATATTATTTTATAAAATATTATCTATCTAATGTACCTAACCTAACCTTATATAAAGCTTTTTAGAAAATGTATGCACATAATAAATCAAACATCCGGTTTGTAATTCTTTTTTTACTATTGTATTTGAAAAACAAAAAAAAAATTCCTGGTTTAAATATCATATATAGGACCGCACATAGAGTTAAAATTATTTTAAAATACGACGGCGTATATGTTTTTTGCGAGAAAAAAAAGTTTTTCGAATGCATTTTTTTTTTAAACAACTGGAAATTGAAGTATAGTATTTTGTACCATCTGTGCTCTGAAATCTACTATTATCAACAGCAGACAGTTGCGCGTAGTATATTGAAGGGTATTCCCATGTCCAATTTTTCTCGTAAAAAAAACAACCCGTTTTTTTAGAGATATAAGGCCCTGAATTTATAACTTATATATTATAATATTGTGTATTATATTATAATATATTATGTTTGAAAAACAAACAAAAATACCCTTTTTACATAATAATATGAATAAATAACTATGGTTCACGATGTAAATGCAAAGAAAAGTATATTGCCTGCTTGACATGCCTGCATAATTTCGGTACCTACAGCGACAAATCGACAAATCATTCGCTGGTCTGCAGAAATAATTTTTAGAAATATAGACTCTGTAACATAACAACGGATCAATAAATAAGCAAATAATAATAATAATAAATATCACAAGGAACGATGTTTGCCTTAAGGTCACATGCATTACAGCCACTTTTTCCCTTGGAACGTTTACTTTTCACTTATCGTTATGAATATCAGCAATCTGGATGCTATATCCAAATAAACAGAGCTCGAAAATTCGATTTCGTTTAGATTTATATTTGCAGAGCAAAACCAAAAGTACCTAGTAGTTTAAGCACTAATTAATAAGCATTACTTAATAAGTAATAAGGTTAATAAATAATTTAAGTCATATTTATTATTAACTATTGGCCTAGTACTGAACGAATAAAATGATAAATATATAAAAACGTTTTTTTCTGCGACTCCCCGTTTCCTACCCCAGTCCCTATCCACAGTGAACCGTTATTGCCTGGTAATTTATTTTTTTTTAAACGGGTACTTACTAGCCCATGACAAATTAACTTTTACTACAGTTTTTTGTATCCGTGCCACTGAGGTAATTTACAAATCAACAAAAAAAAGGTTCAATTTTGTACCAAAAACTCTGTGTCAGAGCCACCCTTTAGCGGTTAAATTTCGTAAATTCAACTTCAAGGTACACACGTCGTTTGCATCTGGAGATTTTGAGAATTTCAGGTGCCATAGATTTGCATAAAAACAACCATTTATTAATATAAATAATTTAATAAAATAAATAACCCAAAAATTATTACTCTTGATTTTATAAATCGTAATACAGTTGAAAAATCTGCAGTCGAAGTTGATGAGCAAATCAATGGAAATATTTAATATTTCGATAAATTATGTTGTCAACAAAGTAAATGCGATTTGGTTACAAATTAAAATTTAACACAAAATATTATACCTACTCCTCCGGGGTGTGAATCTAAAATGTATCAATTTTCGTTGTTAATCGTGCTGTTATTTTTTAAACATCACAACGATAGTAAGTAATAACACTATTTTATTTCTTTTGTTTCAGGTGAGTACTTTGGTTGCTGTCTTTTAAAATTACCTTCAAATTACCTATTATTAACGACCACGGCGTAAGATAAGTAAAAGTTAAAATGCATCTTAAGGTAAAAAATCGTATCTTCATTACATAAATAATATTTAGTCATTATTCGATAATAAACCAGACTGTTAAACAAAATAGTTGATGTGCAATGTGTATACTGAAGTTAGGTTTGGTATATTTTTGTAAAAATGAATACGCTTTTAGTTGTATTTCAATGTGGATGTCGAATTCGATAACTATTTTAGTAAAATTAATATACTCGTATTTTATTTAGTTACGATAACATATATATATATATATATTTATAATATTATCCTGGTTTATGTACCCCATATTACAGTGACGTTGAGCAATTAAATATAATATTTTATCCTTTGGTTTTTTTTTTTTTTTTAATTTCGATTTTTCTACCAGGGGACACAATAAATTTAATAAATGTATTGTAAAGAAAAAAAAAGTGAACATCGTTTAATGTTTTTTTTATTTATTTATTTTTTATTAATATGAAATTCAAAAAAATAAAAATACACAGCACATTCTTTCTATATTTCATCCAAAACCAGCATAACAAAATAGATTACATTTTTTAGATTCCAAATAACGCAGCTGTAATAATACATTTTGACGTTCACAAAATTATTGTGTGTACCCTGGAAATCTTGGTGCTCGTCGAGTTTATCTCCGAAGTTTTGTTGTTAAACAATTTAACCGTATCTACCAAAGTATGGTATTTAGTAGGTACTGGATACCTATCGTGACGATATACTCTATAGAAGTGAGATATTTCGAATTCTCCAAGTTATCAATTACTATGTTGAATTTTGTACGTCAGATCTTTAATTCTAAACATTTTATTAAGAGATTGTAATAATCAATATTTATAAAAATATATAACGAATAAAAAAAAGTAAATTAAATTTTAAAAAAGAAGTGATCTGCCGATAGACGTGCCACTGTTGTTGGGGGAAATTTTGGAAGGTAAGATATATAATAAACCAAAAAAAAAACGAAAAATTATACTCAGTGAAGTTTGATTACTAAATACCAAATAAAAACTACGTAAAAAATTCACAAATGAAAAATTGGTTATTATTTGTTCAATAACCTTTTGAGAATATTTGGCAATTTTATAACATATGGAAAAAGTTCATATATATTTTCTGTCAACATTTCATGTCACGAATATTTTCAACTGAATTGTAACAAAAACAAAATTTATAATAATTACACTATTATTTCCGTAAGTTTTCTCGTTCTTTTTACGGTTTTTTCAATTTCAACAAAACTGTATGGAAATTTTGAAAAACGAATATCTTAATCACCAACTAGATATCAAATACAACAAAAATATTTTTTTTTTATCGCATCAAAATTTCTGTTAGAAAGCATAATACGAAAAAATTAAAAATATATAAATTATTAACGCTGTGGTGCGCCGTAAATATGTATCCGTTTATCCTACACATTTTCCTTAATTACTATGAAAACTCTTTATAAACTTAAAAAATTACTTTCCAAATGTACTAATACGATGCTAAAAGTGACCTGGCCTGTCTTGTTTAAATTTAAATTTGTTTTTAGAAATGCACGTTGTTTTATTATAAGTCGGTCTAAATTATTGATTAATGTGGTATAAATTTAGTAGACATGAAGAAATAAAATATCACTTTTGAATAAACAAGTTGATCAGTCCTAATTCCTAACTAATGCAACAAATATTAAAATGTTTATATTTCATAATAGCTTATAGTTAAAATTACATTAAAAAAATGATTTAATTGAAGTATACTTTAAGATTAAAATGTTTAACTTTATTTGTTGAGAAAGTAATCTATTAGCGGTTTTTTTTTTTTTTTTTTTACAATGTAAGTTTATTTAATACATAATGAAACATACGAGTAGACCGACATATTATTATAATGCTTCATCTTCACGTAATGATGAAAACGTCCTTCGTATAGACGGAATTTCTATGGACTTAATATTTAATTAATTTCGTGGTATTTTTATGATATGTATGTGTATATATGGAGAGAGAGAGAGAGAGAGAATATAATATTATATCGGATCCGTTTGAATTGGCGTAAGGGGATTTTCTGTTAGATTATTGGTCGATGGTCGTAGAGGTTTGTATTGGGACGGTTTAAAGGAAAGTTTCGAAATCGGTTGTATGATAGAGCTCGGTAATTTACAGTGGACACTTTAAAGTTTTTAATTACGATTATTATCGATAATATATTTTCATTTAAAAATGTGCGTCTAATAACCGCGTACGAACAATATTTTCGGATAAAATTCCACGTTACAATCAAAATAAATAGTTTTTTGGACAATTTTTTTTTATTTTACGAATATAAACTTATCGTGATATTTATTATTTTTTATTGACAATTATTTATAATTTGACCGCTTAATTGGCCATCCGTAAAAAAAAAATGGTAAATTTTTCAATTTTTTTTTTCGCATTTGTTAAGAAAACGCGCGTATTTTCGATAATTCTTGGTATACCTAACCTACATATATGGTTACAATTTTTGTAAGTTACAATATTATCGATGAAGTAACGTCAAAAGTTTCTGCGCATAACGAAAACTTCCGTTATTTTCTGCAAGGTAATTTGATATTTCGGCGTACAGAGTATGGGGGTGGATATTTGATCCAAATTAGAAGCTACGATATTATTAAGCTTCATTTTTATTAATGGGTTACCTATATATGACTATGGTGATAAAACAATTTCTCGCGTGATGTGACGTCCATTTTGTACGTATATATTATTGAGATCTAAAAGTTTACCATTGCGGTGACGAATCGGTGGTCATAATATTATGATTTAATATATATATATATAAAATACTCGACTGTGCAAGTGTGACACGAAGTTTGAGTACTAGGCCCAAGACCTACAGTATATATAATATAATAGTCTCGGTCGAATGATTTCGACACGGCGACTATTCTTCTATAACGAGGAAAACTTTAAAAAAAATATAAGTTTTTCTTTTTTTCTCTCTCTGTCTCTAAAACTTAGAAACGATAAGTTCAACGAGACGGTCGGTATTATAGATGTGTTTTTGGGAACGCAGAGGTGTATTATTGTTGAATTATTTGATAAAAAAAAAAAATGAAACCGCAATTGTTGGATAGAATTCAGTTTTTCTATTTTTTTTTTTTTGTTTTCCATTCTTTTAAATATTTTAATAATTTTAGCTTTAAAGTACACCGTGTAGGAGAAAATGGATTAGGGTTTATGTGGATTTATGTAATATATAATTATATTATACAGCACAGGGATTACTCCCGGTTTGATAGTTTTCCACTCGGTTTGCGGTATTATCTTGATAAGCAGTGTTGAGACTTACACACCGGATTTTTCATGCATACAATATATTTTTATCTTATCTAGATAAAATTTTAGATAATTATCTGAGAATAATCGAAGATCAAAAATAATTATATGGACAAAATATATATGTATATTTATACCTAAATAGTATATTTATTAGAAGATGCGTAACAAATATTAAATGATTGTATAATTGAACATTCATAGTTAAAAAGAGCATAACAAATATGTTTTAAACGTTTATTTTATAATGTTTAAAACAGATAGTTTTCATTAATTCTGGTTTTTTCTAGTAGAACTACAAATATATGTTCTTTTGGCACTCGCAATATTTACCACGAGTAAAATATATTGTTGAAACGAGGTTCTTAAAGCCTTAACATTTTTTTTGTACATGTTAAAATATATAGATTTAAAAATAAAGATAATTTTGTTCATGTTTTATCATAAATAAAAGTGCTAAAAGTAGTAAAAGTGTACCAGCTATGAAACGATGTTTATTAATATATAAATCAAATATTTTACCCATTATTTCTCATAAATATAATATATGTAAATTATTTTTTCAAACAAATTGATCTGGATAAATTAATTTATATGAAACAAAACACTGTTGATATGTACCTGTTCGAGTCCGATAAGAAAATCAATAAACATAATCCACTCCTTTGACAGCTGACTGCCTATAATGGTATTTATATATTATTATAATATAATACTTTAGTCGTAATTAAATCATAACCGGGTGATTTTCTCGTAACACTACCTCTCCTGGGGATAAATATTGTAATAGGTATACCTGTGTATCTATTACATTACACTATTGTAAGTCTATATTGATATTATCTTTTAGTAATTTATAGTATGATATTATTACATAAATAAACTGCAAAATTATTTCTGTATTTGTATGTACTTATAATACCTACGTCGAATTCTGTGACGATTTACCATAATATAAATTAGGGGTGGCTAAGTAGTCGATTGCGATCGACTGATAGATTACGGACGATTCCAATGTATATCTCCCTTTGTTAGGATTTATTTTAGATAAATAGATAAATCACAATAATCTCCGATCATTGTTGTAATGTAATTAAACAGTATTTACAGGTACCGGTAATTTTATTTCTGGTATATTTAATTTGTAATAATATATTCAAATTTTAATAAAAATGTGTTGAGAAAAATTATTTAACTATACATTTTAGTTTTATTATTTGAGCGTTAATGTTTATTAGATAAAGAATAATACATTTATTTATGTAAATCAATCCATAAAGAATAAATACATTCTCAATAGATCTCTACTAAAAATAGCTTGGGCATTTCTGATATAAATAAACACCCAAATTAATAATATTATTAATTTCAATTGGCTAATTAAAGAATTTTCACGACGACCGGTAAAAAAATTACGACAAATATAACGCAAAATATTAATTTTACATTCTAAGCTTAGTCATCTAGTTTCCTCAATAATTGGGAATAATCGAAAAACAACCTATGAAAAACGGGTCCGAAATAACAGTTTCATCAACATTTTTTTATTTTTGCCGTAGTTGTGATTCGGTTGAAAATAATTTTACCTGAAACTTTCATAGAAAACTCAAATTGGTCTTTTATAAAATTAGTAAAAATTTTTAATTTTTTTGCTATTTTACTGCTATAAATATGCCCTTTTTCGACTCAAAAATGATTTTGACTAAACAGAAATTTTTGAAAATTCATTACGAAGATCATAAATTTTATTTAGTGATTCAGAAAAAAAAAACGTGCGTACTAAAGTATTTTTTATTTTAAAAACGTTTTAAGATTAAATTTTACCGCAAAACGTAATAATAATGTATAAACGAACTTCGCTCAGAACTACTGTTTTTCGTTATCAATGGTTTATCGTTCCGTAAAGAAATTAATTAAATAACTTTATGTATCCTACGTTTCCAACTTTTTGCTTAAAACAGTACACGACTGTTTCCGGTATCGGGTCTTTTTTTTTATAATTAAAATAAATATATATATATATATATATTCTAAATAAATTTCCTTTTTTATGTTTTAAACGAAATCACTCGAACAAAAAAAAAAACCCTATAATAAATGTCATATAAAAATATCGTATATACAATAAAATACAATTTCATTACATTGGATAGAATACATAATGGATTGGTAGTTAAATATATAGGTACTTAACAAATTGTTATTTATTATAATAAATGAAAGAATTTGTCAATGGTTTAGTAATAAATCGTTTCTTGTTTTTAATAATAATGTTATATTTTATAGTTTCGTATTTATTATATTGTATATATATATATATATATCATATACGATCCGCTGGCTTTCGTATAATATCGTATAATAATACGATACCACTATAACTACGTTGTAAAATAACATATTTCAAAATTCAATGTATTATTACTTTTTCTTTTTCGATTATCTGCGGATTTTCTAGAGTGTAGGGAAAAATCCTCGATTTACATACCCGAAAATATCTCTCTCTCTATCACTCCCTCTGTTTTTCTTTCTCTCTCACTGTTTCGTACGTCACCAAATCCAACGGAAAAAATGTTCAAGTCTTAGGTCCATGCAAAATACATATTATTATTACGCGTATGTATATATACATATATACATTATTATACACACAAAGAAGCGGGAAAATATCTTTTTCAATTTATTTCGGTTCGTTCGTTCGTTCCGATTCCGTATACATAAAAGTGTTTTATTTATTTTATTATTATTATTTTTTTTTTTCAATCGTCGAACACTTATTATTTCGATATTTACTTGTCCGTCGATTTCGATAACATATGCCAAATACAATAACAATACAAATGGGCAAACGGTATTTTTTTTTTTTATCGCCCTTAATAATTCTATACAATATGATTTCTGCATTGTTGTCTCTGTTTTATCATTTTATTGTTATATCAATTTTTTTTTTTTTGTGTTAAAATTAAAAATATATTTCTTGAATAATAATGATGATGTAATAAAATTAAAATATTATGGAATATTAATTCAAAATAGATACGTCCAAGTATAATTGCGAAGAATATCAATATAACTATAAGAAGTGTTTCTTTTTCTTTTAGAAAGCACCGTTTTAACGAATGAAATGATCCGATTTTTTCACAATTTGGATGGTAATTTATTAAAACAATTTGTCTGGATTCCTAACTGTTTTTCTAAAATATGTAAACACAGTTAAAATAACAAATGATGATACTTTAACTTCAACGGAGAAATAAACATAAGTATTTTCTAATTTAAAACTAGAGTTTCACTTATTAGATTTCTAAACATGAAAATTTGTTTAATTTTTTGCTATTCAATTTTCATTACGAGTTGAAGATGTCCCATAAAATATTTGAATGAAGATTATTGAGTTAGAGCAAAAGAAATTTAAAAAAACAAGTGTAATGTCGTGTTGAATTTTCAATTTTTATTGAAAGTGTATAGACATATCCTAATTTATGAAATAATACTTTAAATATTATGTCTCTTTTTGGTATTATATACAATTGTAAACACATTTTTCACGAAAGCAAATTTCCAAAACAAAAACTAGAAATCGTTTAATCGACACTCACCTAAAGAACTTTCGCTGAGGCAATCTTCAGTCTCAAATGTCACTCTGAAGAAAAAAAAATAATAACAATAATGATAATAGTTTGTAACTTGAAATGTAATAATGTATATTATAATAATAAAAATGGAATTTTTGTTTCTAATACATAACGTTTTTATTACGAATACGGACGGATTTTTTTTAAAAAAAATAAATTGTCCGTTTCTTAAAAAGGTTGAAGACCCATGTGACCTATGTGTAAGGATATCAATCCTGTAGTACATTCTCGACTTCCCTTATACAATAGTAGCCTCAGCGAAGCAAATCATCATGCCCGGCATTTTTCCCTATATTTCATTCGAAATAATCTCGCTCGAATTTGCAGTTGTTACGAATATACGAATGTATTCGTATATTATATACGGATGATAATGTTCGGGTACAGCTGTCATCGTACCTATTTGGAGCATTTGAATCACTTAGAAGATCACTACAAAGGATACAAACATCGCGATCGCGCACGCCTTTCGGGACCGGAAATTAAACCAGGAAAACTGTATTGCGGTATCAGTTATTGTTATCGTTAAATTGCCTATTATATCTACCGGGAAAACCTTTTCGTGGTATATAAATAGGTACGATAATACATATAAATTCCAACGAAAAGGTAGGAAAAACCCTACCGGCAAATTTCGTACCTCGTTTACGGTGATTTTCTTTGGGTGTATGCCTGCTATTGATTATTTGTTAATTGTCCGTCGTTTAAAAAAATATAGGTATAAAAATACAATAACCCGTTCTGTAGTTTTTAATTCAACGCTGGCTCGCTGCCGCTATATATGTATTATATATACCTACTCGTATATATACATTATTACTATCACTTTAATCAACCGTAATCTGTGGGGTACCATCGTAATAATAATAAGTTTTGTTGTATCTAACACACACACATATATATATATATATATATATAATAGGCGTATACACGAGTATAATATCTATACAATAATACGCGTAGGTACAACAAAAGAATATTTTTTATATTATTTTTTTTCCCCTAAAGTAGGTATTACCGTCAGACAAATCCTATTCCTTTTCCTCGGGATTCTCCGCAAAAAAATGATGGACAAAAAGAAAATCGTTGTAAACAAAATACAAGATTCCGAATCCCGGTGTGCGTAGGATGATATATTGACCCCGTGATATAAATATATATATCACGGGAAGAGTGGTGGAATATAAGACCAGGCAATAATCTCTAGATAAATTGTATCCCTCCCCCTTTGTTCTAATTTCTCTAATGGAATTTTACAATTTTACCACTCATAATATTTTACTGCGTGATAAATATTCTCTAGTGCCATTTTATCGAAGACCAGTTATCACCGTTATAGTCACCATCACCGTTAAAATTATAGTTATACCTACATAAAATAGCTATATTAACTAAATCATAATGAAAATGATCAAAACAATTTTGAATATTATAATGACCATGTCCTACTGAAACATCCGTACAACAAAGACTAAATAAAAATTAAAGCAAAATCGAAAATAATGAAACTTTTTCTGCCGTAAGTTTGTTGATCTTTTTTCTTATACGTTTTCCCCAATTATTATGAAAACTGTAAGGAAAATCAACTTCCTTAATGCAAAAACTAAATCTTAAATGCCAAAAAAATTGTCCGGCAATTTTTTGATTGCAACAAGATTTCCGGTAGAAGAATAGAGATCGTATAGATACAAAAAAAAACCCTGAAAAACACATCATAGTAAAACCAATACATTCCTCTACGTGCTCAGAATCTAAAAATCGATTTTCGCTAAAAACCGCTGCCTTTGCAAAAAACATGTACCCGTTTTTTCCGACAGTTTTTACTTTGTGTGTTTCGCCATATTATTAGGAAACGTACTAGAATTTAGTAAAAAATTTAAAAAAATGGCCTCCTCCACGTATCGATTAAAGTTCTTAACACGATTCTGGATTGGACCGTGTCCACCGACAAATAGAAGGAAGGAATAAATGCACACATTCACACATTGTAATGTTATTATACGTATACTGCAAAACCAATAACCCGTCATTGCCCGTACCACTCAGAATCTAAAAATAAACAAAACGACAATAAATCAGCTGTAATCGTTATTGGCGACCTAGTTTTTCGTCGCGACATAAGTCACGAAATACTATAATACTGCCCCGTCGCTGCAACTGTTTGCTTTGTCACAATCGATACTTATAACAATAATAATATATATTATTTTGCCCAGGAAAGGTATTACAATATTGTTTGCTTTTCGCGCCTTTGACTTTACCTTGCCCGTGTTACCGTTGTCGTCGTCGTACCCGACACGTCTACCGGAATAAGTCGTGTGCGGTTTAAACAAACATCGATGCCGTTTTGAGTATTTTGACGAGGGAATTCGAAAGTTCCGGGATTATAGAAACAACAATTATTTATAGTAGATATACAAGTACCTACGAGTTACTCGTTATAAAATAGCAAAATAAAATTAACAAATATTGCAATAATTGTCGTGAAGATAAAACAATATAAACGGTCGAACGCAGGTACCTACTATTTTACCAAAAGGAAAACTGGTTATATAACCTGCATTTACTATCTCAGTCTAACAAATTTAAAATATGAGAATATTTCCGAATACTGTACAGTGTACGTGGCTTTTTATCTAAAATATTATGTGGCAGCTATGTATTAATTTGTATTTTGTTATTTGTTTTTATAATATGTACCTGTAACTTTCATATGGTGATTTTTTTATAAAAAGTCTATGTATTTTAGCATCTACTCTTTGCATAATTTAATTTGTTTTTAAACTCTAATTTCAACCTAAATGTCACAATGTATGGTTTAAACTAACTTAATTTTGCTATGTTGCCCGCATGGTTAAACTAAGACAATAAATGATGCGGGTATAGCAGCCTGTTAAATGAAACACACATTGTACATGTTTGTATAATATGTAAAATGTATATTTATAAATATATAAACGAAAAATAGATATGTGAGTAGGTGTTTTTTTTTTTTTTTTTTTTTTTTTAATGCAAATTGGGAAAAAGAACAAAAATATTATAAATACAAGTTCTTTTATACATTATACTAGATTATTTATTTTTTATCACGTTCATTCCGTTTATACGTTTAAATAATCGATTTATTCAGAGTCAGCTGTTTTATTGGAAAAAGTATAATAGGCACATAAAATCCGTATAGATTCTAATACTTGCTATTTTCATTCAATTTTTAGAAACAAATCTTGTAGTTTAAAAAAAAATGCCTTTTTCAAATTATTATTGTTTGGCAATTAAATCGGTAATTTATCTGGTAATTCCTGAAAGGGGTTATTCCAAAATGTAAAATATTAAGAAGTTCAGCAGGTTTAGCGGGTTAAATTATTATAATATAATACGATAATTTTAAATAACTATAATATCTACTATGTTCTAAACCGTTTGTTAAAATGTTTACTTTCGTACGTTGAAAATTGCATTCAAAAAGGTTCAATGTTATCTACGTTTGCAAACATACATTTTTCTATAGAAATTGGATGATACTCATGGACCGAAATACTATACAAATTATATTATTTAAATGCGGAAACGGAGTGAACCGTAAGCATGATTGTAAAAGCTACCCTGTATACCAGGTATACGTGGTTTCTGGTCGTCCATTTAACTTTAAACTCCCGCAAACAAGATAGATAAGATCGTCTGATACCGTCTTTTGATGTGTAGTTTTAACGATGATGCATGTCTATTAATAATATTACAGACCGTATATTATATCGGTACGCAATTAAAAGCCATCCTACCAGAAAACTGTCGACAATATTACTTAACGAATAAAATAATCGAATTCTTCGTCGTCGTAATAACAGGATAATTGTTTATACAGAATGATTGTTTTATCGTAAACCGGTGATTATTATATTATCTAAGACGATTTTGAGTACAATTGATTTTGTTTGTTTTATATGTATAGGTCATATATTCTCTTTCGAATTGGATGTGTTTAAAAACTAGTATGGATTGTTATTCAGAAGTCAATAGTTGACGGATACTTTTCACTAGATAATGTTTTTAAATCAAGGACCTTAACCAATGAACTAAAAATAAGAATGCGAGTAGGTGAATTAAATTAATACGACCATTTGGCTTATATATGGCTTTGTACGCTATAAGATTAGCGGTTTTCGAAAGAAAAGTTCTTAGAAAGATATATGGCCCAATCTTTGATGTCCGAACAAAATTAATGGAGGAGATAATACAATTAAATGATAATTTTAAAATTCACTGCTAAATACCCAATGCGTAGTTGTAGAATGATTACTAAAAAAACACTGAGGATGCAAGTGGGTCATAAAAACGGGGATATTTAGTTAAGCGGGTGATCGATTAAGATCTTTATATAGGGGAAATGTCTTTAAAGAAAAATGTCTATTGTTTTTTGTTTTTTTTAACTTTTAAACGAAATCTGAACATGAAAAATATCACGATTTAAAAATACTTATAACTCTCTTTAAAACTAAAATAACGAACAAAACTATGACATTACATGGATAATGTTTTTATCTTCAAATTGTATAATATACTTGGATGAATTAATTATAGTATTAAAACGAACAAAACACAGTTGTTCCTACAAAACGCAAATTTACTATGCAGGAATAACGTCCTCCGAAAGAAAATCATTAAGGTAGTGAAATCAGGAACCCAACAGAAAAAAGTTGCAGGGAATAGGTCTTTCCGAAAACTGAATCTAAGCAGGAGAAAAACCTGACATGGATTACAACAATTATTATTATTATCACCACCGCTATAAATAAAAAAAAAAAATAGAAGCATTTTTTTTTTTTTTTTTTTACGAAATTTCATGATGGCTTTTTTTATTATTATTTGTGAGAGGCTCTATTATTATTTTTATTCCCGAAACAAAATTGTCTATTATTTGTATTGTAATATAAAATATTATAAGCAGCGGACGCGCGCGCGCGGCGAACGACTACTATCAACTCGCGCCTTAATGGATCTATTGTTTCGTATATTATTATACAGTGATGGCGGTGTGCTCGTCGGGCCCGCTTTTATTATATTATAATAATTTTCATTCGCGAGAGGCTAATTGCGTTATTATTATTACCTCGGCCAGTCCGTTGCTGGCTTCATTAGTCCGACGTCCCTATCGCGCGTCACACCTGCACTTTCACTCGGTGTAAGTCTATAATAATATACCTACCTATGGTAGTACCCATACCCAAATATTATTATAGAACGGTCAAGCAATGGGAATTAATAAATAACGTATCGTCAATAACAAACAATATTAAGGACTGAGATTCGAAAACCAGATATTTAATGATAAATGACGTTAAGTATAACATTACACGACCAAAAAAAAAGAAAAAAAAAGAATAATAATAGTAATTTAAAATATTTTCAAATATATTGTATAAAACAACTAAATAGTTGACAATACGATTGATTATGTGAATCTGAAGCTTGGGTATTTATACTACAATGATGCGATATGAATATGTATGTGATAATAATACTCCCAGATTACGGAACATTGAGTATGATAAAACATATAAGTGGGTGGAGCTCTTTCTTAAGACTAAATGAAACACGGAGTGTTTAATTGGCTGTCCTCGGAAACAGAGTTATTCTTTCTCTGTCCTCAATCGTTTATCGATATGTCTCTCCTAATTCATTCATCCCCCTCTTTACTAGGTCTTCGAAAATAAATTGATGCCCCTAGATGAATAAGTTTAATATAATAATTTTTGTAAGCATAATATGCTAAAAATTGACAATTAATTAGATTTCGTTTTCATAAAATCACACAACTCATGGTATAAACAAATATTTCATGGGTCAATTAATACTCATTGCGGTCGTCTTTAGTATATAACTGTCGATTTCAATATTAGGACTCTAATATAGGACTTTTGTCATACAGTTGGCTATTTAGTTGTCATGAATAATATGATTTTATATGATGTTAAATTTGCATAGATATGTTTTTAATCCCAGACACAAGGTAAAATATAGTATATTAAGACCCGTGTGCATATTACATACGTTTAAATTTCCTTAAACAACTGTTGTAATTTCTCCTGTTCTAGAGTAATAATAATATTTATTGTTACTTATCACTGCAATTTTATTTTAGTTCCGATCGCTTTACTCCAAACCGCTTGTGAATGACCACCTCATCAAAATTTCGATAAAACGCACGTATTATATTATGACCCTTACCTGTACATCATATTACACTAGTATTAATAATATATACTTATACGTAGTATGTGTGTGTGTATTATTACGAGTTTTCGTTCACGATTTATTAGCTATTTTTGCCGTTATAATGCGTGTGCGCCCGAAATTATATCAACACAATACTACGATTTTATAGTTTTCATTATATATACAACCAATACATGTTTTTAAGCTATTACCCTTATGAATCATTCAACGAGTTCCAAAGATTATATGTACCTAAGTGCATAACAAAAACATGATATATTATATATGTTCCCCGCCGAATGTTTGTCACGCAAAAAGTTGTTTTTATTTTTTTTTCCATTATATGTACTAACGATGTGTGTGTGTGTATGCGTGTGTGTGTGGATGTGCGTGCGTCTGTGTGTTTGTTTGTGTGTGTACGTTTCCAAAATAAAGATATACATTACTGATAACGTCGTATCATATAATAAATATTATATATTCCCAGTTACCCGAATGTAATCGATACGTACTTTCATATACATAAACAAGTATTTGAATGCTTTCAAAGAAAATTATGTAAATTAGTCGTATACGTATAATGTCTACAAATTGGAAATGTGCCTTAAATTATTTCCGGAATAGTACATTCACAGTGCTTTAGGTTTTATCAAAATCTTTAACTAGATGTTGGTACATAAATAATAACGAAATAATAAAACGGTTATAGGAAATTGTACAATGTTATTACGCCGTGTTAAAGGATATGCATGTTATTTTATTCTGTTCCTACAGAAAAAAAATCGTTAACAATTGTATAATATATTTGTCGAATATTTACAACCGTTGTGAAACATTGGTATTTTAAAATTGCACAGAAATTAATAGAAAACGCCCGACGAAGTAAACAAAAATATTATTTAAAAAGATAGATATACGTATACACCCTGTATATCTGGATTGAATAAAACGGATATGGTAATGTAAGATTATTTTCTACAACGACGTTAAATAATAAAATACTTTTGAACGTATAATTTAATAGGTTAAACCCTTCTTATGTATATATATATATATATATATATATATATATTATATTATATACATTGTATACAGGCGCTGAATAATAAATATTTTTTATCGAACTTTTCATTTAGTCTCTCGTCGAAAAATACATATACCTTTATATAATATTATACCTACTTGTCTGCTTTACTATACTTTGGAAATCAATAAGGGTTTTTTTTTTTTTACGATGGAATTCAACATCGGTATTTTTCAATAAATACTCTTTTACTGTTGATATTGAGGTAGAACACGGTTCCGTATGGTCCTTACCAGCGAACGGAATCGTGCACAATTTTTAAATCACACGATTCTATACGTTTTATACTTACAATTTTAGTGCAATGTTACCAGATTTCTTTAAGGTTACGTAGGTATTTGACTATTTAACTTAGTTGTAGGGTTTTACGTAGATAATTACTAACTATTATAGAAATATTTATATAACGTACAACAGAAATACAATCGTTATATATCAAATAAGTTGTTTGTTGTATAATAATAATAATTATTATTATTAAGATATAATATCTTATATTATATCATAATATAAGATATTTCATTTTAATTATCTCCGTAGTACGTTATATATTTTACCTAGTCACCACGTCTTTTTGTGTAAAGTGTGATGGGTCATGGAAATCGAATTTCTAAATAGTCAATATGGAAAACGAAGTAAAGTTTATTATTTCGGAAAAACGACAATCACTTGTATTACTTAATCTCTATAAATATATTTTTTTAAATTTTGATTAAACTGTGATTTTTCAAGTTCATCAACTTTTTTTATAACGTTATTATTTAAGAAAATTAAACAAATTGGCAATAATAAATACTAAATCGTACGTAATCGTGTTGTTTTTTAAGCCATTTTGACGATCCATTGTTTGATCGAACGGAATCGTGTTCCCAAAATGGTAAAACGTACGGGATCGTGCTTTACCGATATTTTGTACCCATAAAGGTATAAGGAAAAAAATTCTATGCTACTCACGGGTCGGCCAGTGTTACACGTGAGTACTTGGTACTACTGGATACACTGAGTAATATTATTAGAGAATAATAGGTAGCAAAACGTGCTACGGTCGTGCCGAATTTCCAGATTTTATCTGATAATTTATAATGTACGAGTCTAAATAATGAAATATGGCCAACGATAGATGCCATTATAGAATTCAATACCGGTGTTAAAATCGATATCGGAAATATAATTTGGACACGTCTAGAAATTACACGAGACAAATACTCACGATGTACGAAATAATTGTGAACGTTTCAATTATTATTTATTAATTTCCGGTCCATAAAACCATATATTAGTTATATTATTATTAAAGACACATTATTGTAAAAGATAAATGAAATATTTCCGGATGTAATACAGGTAGCGGGTATTCTTGGTACCCTATTATATTCTTCAAATAAAAATTATTTCGTAACATCGTCATCAATTATAGTAGTGCCATAGATACGCACTGCGAGTTAAGATACCACCATGATACAGTACACGAAACGAAACGTCTTCTCGGCGTTTTTCTCTAAGCACGTACCTTCAGCTCACTCTACGGCAAGACAACCCGTGCTTTAAAACAGTAGTGATGGTATAAAAACAAACTAAAATCGTATGACTTATTTAGAATATTAATGATGTCGGAACTCAGTGTGTTATCACGATTTCATTTAAGATAACTCGATTTGCGGGTGCTATACTAAAAAGCATTACTTACATAGTCTCGTCGATAAGACATTCGTTTCGTGCCCTGTAACCATAATCGTATGTTAATTCGTTCTGCACACAAAACGTAAAACGTATGATTTCATCGCCTGAATTCGAACAGAAGTTAAAAATAATAATACTAATAAGAACAAACATTTGCTGTTGCCGATTGATAAGTACTCAACAAATAAAATTTATATGTATACAAATAATAGGCGATTCAAATCAATTTGATCAATCAAAAATTTTCCTTTGTTTTATAGTACGCATTGATTTACTTAAAATAAATAAATGTTTAATATACAATCGTGTGTTAATTTAATTTTTTTAAACGCCGATATCATTCGGCCCCACAACAGTTTCCACACACGATATCCCATTTTTCTCATTACAACAGTTTTTATTTTTATTATTGCACAACACGTATACTATTACGTAATATTATAGTTTCGTCGCATTTCAACGCGACTATAAATATCGGGTTGATTTCAATAATTTCAAATAGTATACGAGTAATATAGTATACATTTCAGATTTGATTGTAAAATTAATTTTACGTCGAATCAGATTAAAATCGTTTTAGTGCACTAATATACGATAAAGTATTCAACGTTATTAATTAACGGCAGTGCTGTAGGTTCGAACGAAGCATTTAGGTATATATATATATATATATAGGTATTAGGTATATATTATGGTTTATTCACGGTTATTGTGATTTCGGGGGAAATTAATAATTTGTATACGAATTTTTAATGCGCAGACGCCGTGGGAGTCTCGGTTCGTTCGTTAAAATACATATTATTATTATTATTATTATTATTAAAGCGATAATAGCAATTGTGTAGGGGGATATACAGTTCTTTGAACGGGCTGCAGCGTTTGTTATGCGATCGATATGATTTGGTCGTTGTTTTTATTATGTCATTCGATGAGTCGGTCGGTACCTACGTACGACACCGCAGTCCTATGCCAAATACGTGGGGCGGTGCCTTTAAATATTTAAAACTCGAAACGTTATTGCTTGTGGAGTGTAGAAATTTATAGTTCGTTTTATTATTTTTCTTTTCTTTCTACGCTTTTAGTCCAATGGACACCCTAGTGACCCGGTAGAGTAAGAATTTTGATTGATGTGCCACGTTCCCACTTTCTACGCCTCTTATGGTCAACCCCATGCATCGTATTATACACCGAGATCATAGTTACAACTTAGAATTTTAATATGCTCTTTTTGTGTTCAGCCATATCTATTCTACAAATACGAGTATATGCTATGATGTGTTCACTATACGTATTTCATTTTTTTTTTTCTATTGCCTTCTAAGCGTGAATTATTTAAATTTAAAAAAAAATACAAAATACAAAATAAATATAACTTCAGAACAATAATTGTACTTCCAACGATGCCTATAATAATACATTTTCATTGAGAGATTTTGATGTTTTTTTATTTTCTCTTGCAGTTTTACGTTTTGGAAAGAGGATTATTTTTTAGTTTCTATCATTAGACTATCATATTCCTTGCGGCTATTCAGTTGTCTCACGTACAATGTCTAAAAATATTTTGGACCGGGCAATTTTAATCTATACTCTGTTTTTAAACAATAAAGCAAAAAAAAAAAAACAACAACAAACCATTAAAATAAAAAATAAAATCCCCGAATGGCCTCAAGTAAAAATGTTTACCGAAAACTTAAACTCCAAATTTATGTGTATGTAGGCTAGTATAACTTTTACTTTCGAAATGCATTAGTTACACTACGCGAACTTATACTCATAACTTTTAATATTATTATTATAGTTTATTATTACCGTTGTTTATTGTCGAGTATAAAATAGGTAGGTAGGTACAATTATACAGAATTCATCTTTTTTTCAGAACGCGTCGACGTGAAAATGTGACCCTTTTCACAAATGAAAAACTTAAATTGAAAATAAACTAAAATACGTTTGACCAACACATTTTTTTTTTTTTTATTTATTCTGCGTAAACTGTACTAACGTAGAATGTACGTCTTTTTACTTAATGTCACGAACCGCTATGTTATACAACAGCGTAAATATTTTGTACAAATTGCTACAAAACGCGATGTGCCCAAAGACAGTATATACGTGCACTTAAAGCTGTCAGGCTATATAGAATAATATAATATATAAAATAAGTATTTATTATTGTTTTTTTACGAATATAAAAATTAATAATAATTTAGTTTTTGCGATACATATGAATTTGAAGTTGTATACAAAAAGTAGAATTTTTTAATAATATATTATATCATATTTGATCAAGGAAATTATCTTTTATTAATAGAAGTTCGTAACAATATTACGAACGAAATATATTTGACAAAGAGACAAAGAACCGGCAACATATTTTTACAAATATACTTATCGATTTTTACCTTGACTGCATAATATTTTTACACGGGAAACATTAGGGGTACGATACGATAAACGGTACGAATTAAACGAAATAAAATACGATATTAAATACTTTATCTAAAAATAAGACCTATGCAAATTTAGAATAAGTATAATATTTTGAAATCTATATTATTTGCAAATTAATCGCCACAATACAATATTAGAAGAATATGCTGTATTCGTTTATTTGTATTTATTATGTATAACACAGCAAAATTACGTTTAGCAAAGCCAACTTTATGCTAATAGTTTTAATAGTGGAATGAATTTACACATTATTAAACACAAAGATAAGAACATTATCTGTACAATTCTGGCATTATTATTTTCGATATTTTAATTTTTTTCAATATTGATAGCCTTCGATTGGTATATCTAAACAAAATAACCTTTATAATTTCTACGTGATGACTTTTATGATGCTGACGACTGAATTCAATGAGAGCAGGGTTGATGAAATTTACAACATTCTTTAAATTCCTACTTATACGTTGTGTCACGTCAATAATCATAGGATAAACAGTATAAAAATACATGTATTGAAATAATAAAAACGATTTGAAGCGCAACGATACATAAACTCTATATTAACTTAATATAAACTCGCCAAATACTTAAAAATTATGCAAGTACCTAAATATTATCATTTGATGTATTTACAATAATATTTAAGACAAATACATTTAGAAGAATCGTATTGTAATGGTTCCATAAGACTCGTAAACTATATACGATCAATAATAATAATAATAATATTAGTATATCATTAAATTTATAATCATCATTAACTTAATGATGATAAGACAAAAACACTCGAGTTTATAATCGATGTCATTTGTTATGCGTAGAATATTTACAGGGATAAATATGATTATAAATTAACTACATAATTTAGATATAGACGATTAATTTCAAATGCACTTTATTATTGTAGATATCATGGCCTCATTAACGGGTTTATCGATTGGACAATCGGAAATGGCCCCCGTATTTAAAAACTTTTTTACGCGGTTATAATTGTACAATTTTACCTTTAACTATTATTTCTGTATACGATGATATTCGAAGTATCCAAGTGTATACATATATTATAATATATACATTTTTGATAACATACGACTTCGTTAAAATCACCAGAATCGCATCCTTCTAAAATACTCCCAAACGAAAGATTTTTTACATGCAATACTGTTATAAAAAAAAAAAAGATACATATACATATAAATAATTTATCCAATGTATACACTATGTCATTACTAAATTATTATAAGTAGTAAGTAAAAGCAGTGGGATTCTTTCTACGAACGGGATCACGGAGTTATGCGTATGTAACCACAAAATGTTTTAATACAATACCTTATTCATGCATTAATGTACGAGGAAAAATAATAATATGAAACACATCAACGTTAAAATTTGTTTGTCATATGGCTGCACGAAATGTATAAAATGACATATATTGTTATTGCGGTTATTTTTATTTATGCGCATAACCGCATTTCATAAAATATATTATTTTTTTTTCCTAAAGAAATTTCAGTGGCAAATTTTCAACTATTTCAGGGGAACGGTCTAGAGTTTATAACAATTCCATACCTAGGAGTTTAGAAACTTGGAGCCTTCGCCCTTTATCGCAACTTTATATGCATTATAATGCAGCTCGGAAGCCGCCGTCGTTGCAATTATATTTAATTTTTGAAAGTTTATTTATTTTGAACTTATTACTCTTAACCGGAAAATTTATTTGATTCGATTTTATTCGTGAGCGGAGGATCGTATACCTCCCTCTGCATTGCATAAACACATCCCCGTTAGACATTCTTCCGTCGCCGTTTCCTGCAAACAAATGCTTATCACATTTTTCAATTGTATACGAACCGTCCTACTCAAATATTCTCCAAGACTGCGTTTTTGATGGTAAAAATTTACAATATTTTTTATTCGCACAGTTACTGTTTTAGACGGCAAAATATCAGGCGGGGATGTGACCTGTTACTTATTATATTTTAATAATATTGCCACACCGAGTCTTATTATGCAATGTCTGATGTCAGAATTCAGAACGCTGTGCACTATGTGCTGTATGATTAAAATTTCGTTTCCCGCGGTGGAATTAAATAAACAAATTACTTTGGTGAATGGCACCGCGGTGTCACGTTTAAATTATTTACGCGTTCGTTCTTGTATAACAATTAAAAACGTAATTATTATAATAGTAATTTCAGTGAGAACAGTATAACTTAAAACTTATATTATAATGTACACGTAAAATGTATAAAAGCCAAATTTAAAATCCCGTCGAAAATTCACGGTTTGTTCGTTGATAGTTTTAAATTAAAATGGATTCAGGTAAATATACCCCTAGGATCTAGTCTAGGTGCAATAATATTATTAATACTATAGAAAATTAAATATGTGCATTACCGGTTAGTAATAATTATATTATTTTGATCCACGTCTATTATTTATTCGTATATGTATACTGGATACTCCATCGGTAATAAATTATAATTATTTAAAAACGTTTTAATTTTTTTTAACTTTATTGATAGGTTTATCGAAATATCGTGTGTGCTCTTTGAATAATGAATACTAAGTATGATGTATATTATATTATTTATCGATGAAATAAGATCGAACATATTTGATAGGTAGACGGCGAATTTCTCTACAAAAACATAAGGAATATTTAAAAGGTTTAATTGAAATATATTTTTGTTTTTAGCGTCTAAATGACGTAACGAATAAGAAGCAATTACTTTTGAAAAGATTTGTTTTTTTTTTCTTCTGAAAAAAAACCTTTAGGGTCAGTAACACTAATCTGATTTTTCATGTCAAATTATAAAAGATACGGATTTTTTTACTCGATTGCACTCTATTTGAAATGTTTTTCGTAATTCCGGTAAAATCGGTGGCTCTAGGATATCGTCTCTAATGCCCACATAAGGTTTTGGCGGTTTTCAATGAAAATTAAAATTGATACAAATTCATTCAATGTACAAATTATTATTATATAAATCTGCAATTTCGGCAACAATATAATATTCGTTTATGTCCTTATTATTACGTTGACAAGGGTTTAAAGCCTTAATAATAATAGTTGTAACAACTGTTATCAAATACCATTTTGTTTAATCCACTTAAATTAAACTTTATACAACTTCGGTATAAACTTTATAGATACCTATATCTACCTACTTAATTTTTTAAATTTTTTTTAGAGATTCAGTGTACTTATAATACATTGAATAATTATAAAATACTTCAAACCGACCATTTTACTATAGTAAATAAATAGAATGATAATTATTTAATACAGGATAATTCTTTTATCATTTAACACTCATTATTTCGCAAATTTTGAATTTTTAAAATTTAAGAAACAAGCAGATCTAAAATTTTACATTTCCATTAATTTTTGTCATCCTTATTTCGGGGGTAAAGCGATTTCCAACTTTTAATATTCCACTTTTAATTTTGGCCCTGAGAAAGTAATGGAATGTCATTCGGATGGCTACACGGCGCATGGCAGTTGAATAGTGCTTATAGTTTTAGTAAGTATTCAACGATAAAATAATCACTCTACACATTACAAGTCCCTCATTTCGTAAATATCATTTGATTTTGCTGAAATGTATCAAATCAATTGACACACAAACTATTCTAATAATAATCCACCCTATATTTTATAGGGTGGATTCACCACCTACGGCCGCCTTAATAATGTTTCCTAATGACCTAGTATATTTCTATATAAGTTAGATGAAAACAATTCAAAACTAAAACATAAATTCATTACAAGTTTATGAGTGCTTAGTTTGAATTTCAAAGTATTAAGAACGTTATGGAATTAAAATGTTGTATTTTTATCCTAAAATTAAATATTATTGTTTTATATGACTACCGTACGCTCTCAATAATAATAATTATCAATTTATTATAATATTGATATTAATTAAAATATAATTTATAAGAATACAACAATAACTATAAAATGGCTCACACAGTTACGTCAACAATAAACATTGATTATAATAAAATATAAGGCCTAAGTTTTGTATACTAGCTTCACGCTATTTACGATGATTTTTGACGATTCAAAATTATTGTATTGTCACTTTAAGTTAAAAATGCATAGTAATATCTAAGACAAGTTTTTAAATCTAAATAGTTTTTCCGGTTTTTTGATAAGAGGTAGGTAAATTTAAAAAAAAACTATTGCTTTTAAGAATTATATTATTACCCTTATTTTAAAAGAAGTTTCTGGACGAATCATTTTTTTTTTTTATATAAGACAAAAAGAACCACCATTGTCCATTTCATGAGCTTTGTCATTATAGATATTTTAATGGTTGTCGTTTAAAAATTTTTAAAGTAAATATAATAATACTTAATTAAGGTACAGCGTGGGGCGAAAAGGTTGAAAATTATAAAAAAAAATACCTACTAATCAAGAGATGCGTATAGTGAGTGTGCTTAAAAACTATATACGAAAAATATAAAAATAATTTTACTAAAAATTTAATAATTTTTACGAATAACGAGCGATGCAGTACATATTTTAATATTTAAACATTGTATTAATCATTAGGTAGTTATGAAGTATTTTAATATTTTTCAAAATGTAAATTTTTTTCCTGTAAAATGTACATTTACACAATTGGCACGTTTAATAAACTTGTGTTATTCAAATGATAACTAATTGAAAGAAAAATAAAAAAAATTATACTTTCATAGTTTTTCTTCAGTCTATAATCTATTTATTGTCCACATATACTTCACCGGGTTAAGTTAACTCGTCTGTTTATCTCATCGTGTATTCTTTTTTTTTCAAAATGTCCTCAACATACCATCTCTATGTCGTCATTTTTCCTGTAGGCTACAAGCCGTAGCTATATCTGATATAGCTATAGAATATAGGTAGTAGGTACACTATACTTTGAGATTAATCAATATTTATGTATTATACTCAACAACTCGTTTAATAATATAGGTATATAAAAACTCGTGAAAATTCTATTTTAGATAAGAGCTGGTGATGTATGTATATATATATATATATATATATATACTCGAGTTATTTCTTACGTTATCTCGGGACTTTCGTCAAAAAATGTTAACTCGTTTATCGAAATGACCTTCCGCTCTTGATGTGCTGTATCTTTAAGAAAAGCCCACTTCAACGTATACAAGGGGAAAATGTCAAAAATAAAAAAATAAAAAATTATATACAACGTCGAGATAAAGTTGTAATCGTATTTTCGAGTTATACTTACGATTGTATACACGTTCAAGGTTTTTTTTTTTTTTATCATAGTGACGGTTTACTGTGCTCAGATCACGACGGAGTAAAATACACTATACATTTAAAGTGTCCGGTTTTCCATTAGCTTGTTAATTATTACTTATTTAAAACATACCGAAAATTCGTTTCTCTTTCACGTAAATCAATAATTCATTACGAAACGTGCATTATTCTTACTAATTGTCAACTATTTCACCGTGGGATGGGATTAATAGAAGTAATAAATGTAACTATAGAGGGATGATACTCTATTTGAAATTTTCTCTGAAAATAGGAGAAAAAAAACTCCCTTCTCGAAATTTAACTAAAATATTCACCGAGAACTTTTTAAAAAATATTTTGTGTGGAAAAAGCTCCCATTCAAAGTTGGAATCACGATTTGTGTCAATTAATTGTACTAAAATATACGTACATACAGTTGTAAACAACTATAGGTATAAATGAAAATAATAACGAAGTCCACAGTTATAATAAAATATATTTATAGGTATCCATTAATTGAAAATGTTAAGTACGTACTCTGAAACACTTTGTGATTTCGAATCTATCCTTGGACAGTTGGAAAGCTGCAGTCGTGGACAAACACAACCACAACAACAATTTCCATTAGTTTAAAATATCAACCGTGGGAGCTGACAATTATACTTCTCGTACTAAACAATAACAGATTCTAACGTATTATAATATATAGTGAATGACATTCGAGAATACCAACCTATTGTCTCGACGGGTTATATAATAATTATTATTGTGAACCCTCGGTCAAACATAATAAAATACAAGAGAGGATGAAAAAAAAAATTACTCTGAATGAAGATAAGAGATGGACCGATTTTATCAAATAAAGTCTACAGAAAAAGAACTAACAAGTAAATAAGTGTAAACGACTTGAATATTCAGGCCATGTGTCTGGAGTTCAAACGGCATTTTGAAGAAAACTTCGGTAGGGAATATATACGGGAGATAACCCAGGGGTAGTTCTAGACTGCGTTAGAGGGACATAATTAAAGACCATTGAAACAAATTTACTTGGGAGGAGGGACATAATAATATAAAATAACGTAGTTATTGAAACAAATGGACGAATTTAGTACAAGCAGTGAAGGTCTTTTAAGAATTTTAATAGCTCATGAACAATAGCAAAAAAATTGCAAACCTCTCGGTCCACGGGAATATTCAGATTTTTTACATGAACATTTAATTTTGACGTATATTTTATGACCAAAAGTTGAAATCGAGAAATCGAGTAACCTCAAAAATACCCGGGTAAAAAGTGAATTTCCCACGGGACAATGCATAATTGTTCAGCTTTTGGCCAGACAAACTAGTGATCAACAACATTTACGCAAAACTGTAGTAATCGATAATAATGAAATGAAAGGTTTTCATAATGATTTTTAATATGATATAATAAATAAATTAAATAATATATGAATGTGGTTTTTTTTTTTCATGTTTATATTAACTAACTATTAATACGTATCTAATTACATTCAATTATTTGTATAATTTTATTAATCGGTATTTACAATTATTATTAAGATTAACATTGTACTGTATATTATTGAAATATACAGATACTACGGTTTTGTCTAAGCACGGTGTGTTTTTTGCGTTTCGACTATAGCCTGTAATATATGTAGATAAAATATTTTTCACCGTTGACACGAAAACACTGCCCGGGTGCCAAATTTACAACTTTGAGGTCATTCTTACAAGTATTATTTTGTAGGATTCAGAAAAAAATAAAAATAAATTAGCTATAAAAAAATATAATGAAATCTCCCCTGTGTTATCTTCTATTATATTGCTGTATAGAATAACTGAAAAATAAAAAAAGGAAAACCTTTTTATGTTGTATCAAAACGTTTATAAATCTTTTGTGAAACACCTTCTACGTGATAAGATGGGCCAAAACTATATAATATTATACCTTGTAGGTGTTAAAAAAATGCACACTAGAATTTCTTCTGTGTCGATAAATAATAATGTTTCTTATCTTAGAAATCTCAACGACAACAACAAAAACCCCGCCTGAGTGGGTATCAAAATATTGACGAATACTTCATATTTATTATAATATTTATATGCCTTATCATGCATTGTGTTTGAACTCGAATTCCTATGTTTTATTTTTTTAAACAATCGATAATTTACACATTTTAAACTTGCTTTGGTGGATTGTTGGTGTATTGTTTGGTTTGTGTGTGTGTGTGTATGTGTATCAATGGTAAATTTCCGTTCAAGAAATGGTGTAATAATATAGTAATAATTATTCGAAGAAACGCCACGAATATAACATTTCTGTATATGCAGGATGTTATGTTTTTTTTTTTAACTTAGACCCTGTCACATTGAATATTTAGCTCTCTAGCCGCATCTCTTGAAAAAAAAAAAAAAATAAAAGTATTAAATTTCTCTAAGAACGGGTTAATCAAGTTTTCGAAAATTATTGATTCTAACACCAGAGTTATTTTCAACTTTATCGATTTATACTTGATAGTTTGTCGTTTGTAAATTGAAATCGGTAATGGTCTTAAGATTGAAAACAATTTCCACATAATAGTTGTTAATAAATATGATTATTTTGTGGGTATTGAAAAACATTATTTTTGAACTTTTCACTCCATTAACTGTGTACTGTTCGATCCTTACTGGAGTACCTAATATTTAAATGCGTCTCTTTGGAATCCGTTCATAAAAACTGACTCTTCATATTTAGTTTAAACCCGGCTTTTCATAACTGCCGCTTTTACTTAAAAAAACTTAATATTCTCAGCATGAATACCTCCCTGTATTAAATCAGATTGAAGTTATTTACCTAACAAATAAATGAGTGACAGCTAACTTAGAATTCTTTCAAAACCTTATGAATGGACGTATTGATGTTCCTTTTCAAATTAACTTTAAAGTTCCTGTAGATAATATTTTCCCTTTGTCATTCTTTCTATTGCATTAATAAAATTACGATAATAATCCAATTGATTGGACGATGCATCTGGCCAATCAACGTTCTGATTTATTCAATTTGTAACAAATAATTATTGAGAATTATATTTAACATTCAACACGTTTGTATTTTGTTTAATTATATATAATTAGTTACCTCGCCTGTCGTTTCCCGTTCCAAAAGAAATAATATAAATTTTTTGTTTTGTTTGTTTTAACTTTTTTTTTACTTCGTCCGTATTACCAATATAATCCATAAATCGATAAAAATAATTCGATTTACGTACTTAAAATACCGATAATCCTATGTCAACCCCTCACTTTTAGAAGTTGTGCATGGGGAAAAAATAGCCTATTTGTAATTCTTGATCTGAAACTACATCTGCGCAAAGTTTAAGCTCAATTCCTTTGGTAGTTTGGGCGAGAATAGGTAACAAATATACCTGCATACAATGGTACAAACAAACTTTCATATTTACAATATCAGTAAGACAGTAGAATTATTTTTTCAATCTTCGAATCGATAGAGTTTAATTTTTCCGTAAATTAATAATACGCATATTTTGTGTTAAATATTGTACTATCGGGGACCTAATGTCCATTTTATTATTAATAAATATTATATGGAATTTTGATTGAACGCGTGTTCGTCGATTGGTACGCAAAAAATCCTCCGGTCTTTAGCGCGTATAGTTTTGCGTAAAAAAAAAAAAAAAAGGAAAAAAAGACCTCCCAACTCGTATAATAATTTACTGGCGCACGGTTAACACGGCAGCGGCGGTGGCGGCGGCGGTAATGAATTCGCTTTTAGCAAATTGATTGGAACACGCGATCCGTTCGGCGGAATGACCTCGACCGTCCTGCGCGAATCGTGCGCTCCCACCCCGAACCTTCGGTCCAACGAGATACCTATAATGTTATACCGTAGTTGTGTTTGGCTGGCGGCGCCGAATCGTAGCGGCGATTTTCGTGCGCGCATTCGGACCTTTCGTACGTACAGCCAGATAGGTTGGTGTGTATTTATATATATATATATATATTGTATAATACAAATACGTTTTGAAATTAATTCGCGGATTAATTACTTCAGCCGTCCGGCCATCTGTTCGACGACCCCGGCCTCCCGTCCGGATATTGACGTGCCCGTTTACCGGAAACGTAATTTATGTCTGAGCGAAATTCCTAACCCCGCGTCGTCTTCTTCGTCCGTGCATATCCGCCGTGCACCCGTCGTCGTCGTATTATTATACTATATACCGGACCTCCGTATACATTATCGTGTATTGCGTAGCGTGATGGTAAGACACGACGGAAATATTTACGGATATGATGTTGAAATACCTGCGCAGCCCCGGTACAATATTCGCGGACGATAACGTTTGCTACGACCGCTACTCGGGTCCAGTGGTGTGTGCCCGAGAATTTTTCACTAGAGGCGATGTAGTAAATAATAATAACAATAATAATAATTGCGAATAAATCGCAGAATCTATAGAGTTGTAATACGAGTATGATTATATCTTAACACTTAACGGTGGTAATGTAAAAACCAGGTCTAAAAATAAAGCTCATTTTTTTTCCCAATAAATCAAGCTTTTTGTCGATTTTTCCCCGACAATGGAGACTATTGCACTATTGAACTTTGTTTAATTTTAGATACATTATTCTCGGTACTTTTGGAAACTTTTAACGGCTCCCTCCAGACCACTTGATATCAAATTCGGACATTTTTTGAGTTGTTACATGGGTGGATTGAACTGATAACAATTTGGTATAATTTCAACATGAAATACACGGTGTTGTTGTAGAGTCTAACGTAAGCGGAGATTTGATTGAATTTTATTTATGAGCAAAAAAAAAGGTCTTTACTTGGATTATACCCATTCGTTGTTTTCTTGTCACGTATAAAAACATGATAAGCCATAAAAATTAATTTTAATTTCAGGGTTGATATCAGTTTTGGGGTGCTGGAATAATTATTTATTTTTTTTTAATAAACTATGGAAACTAGAGTAATTAAATTACTATAGGGAATGTCCAAAACTGAAGGGAAAGGTTTGGTCTATCTGTTCGTGAAGCTTTATTCAAGGAGGGAGAAATGGACGCGCAGTGGATATTTACTAAAAAAAATTACTTACCGCATGCCTTACGCATGACCGGTCACAGATAAACTTTTAAATATTACTTTCATAAAACTAAATGCTAAAAGTAGCATAAAAGTGTACCAGGGTAATTAATATAGATTAAATATTTTATAATTTCTAATCTAGATACTATTATCTGAAAAGTATGTAAATATATGAATATATACAAGGTATATTTGGAGGATTTTATTATTCCCTATGCAATTACACCAATAGGAAATCGTTAAATTCTGCAGATATCTGATACCCTCTGTACATTGTCGAAAAATCGTAATTTTCACCTACCTATATAAAACTTAACGGCGGCAAAATATTTTATAATGACAAATTGTAATTTCGAACTTCTCGTGCATACATGACAGAATGTGAATTTAGGAATAAGGTACGCGAAAAGTTTTTACCATAGGAAAACGTCATCATTATTATAATGTCAGTACAAATTACTACGTCTCCGTTGAAATGTCGCGACAAGACTTATGCGTCAAATCATTAATAAAAAAAAAAAAAAGTAAAAGCCCCTGACAACACGGTAGAACGTCTTCTATCGTGAAGAATAAATTCTATAATATTTTATTCTCATGAACGAAAAACTCCGCCAAATGGAAAAAACTAATATTTTTTTTTTTTTTTTTCATGAACTCGTGAATGTATCGTTACGAATATTTAAAATATTATAATAACTATAGATATTCGTAACATCTGCAATGAAGATTTGATTTTAAATTCGTCCGACCGGGAGAAAAAATCAATGTTTTTTTTTTATACATATATATATGTATACGACATACATAGACTTTTTCATCCCCTATGCTTTGAAAATTGTATTTATTCGAAAAAAAATATTTTATATATATGGCGTATAGTCGATTTAATAAATACGGGGTGATTCGCATTGTTAAAACACGCCTGACCACATCGTTTTTATTATATTTGAATAACTACGTATATAGAACGTGTATAATATATTATATATATTATATATACGTGTATTATACATTTTATTCGAGTACAAATTAGCGAAAAAATTAATGTCTCGTCGTGTTCTAGTTTGAAAAAAAAAAACCAAACAATAAATTTAATAAAATTGTGTTCGAAATCCGAATGTCGAAAAATTTAGATTTCATTATTTAATATAAATTTTCTATAGGTGTTATCATAATGTTAAACAGCGATTTTCTGATGATTTAAATTTAATTTGATTTCTATTTTTATCATAAAATCGTTTAAGCTGTATTTAAACATTAAATTTAATAACTTTTTACCCCTACCAGCAATCTTATATAAGTATACCGCATTTTTGAAATTCAAATAGGATCACATTAATATAAATATGATAAACTCTAAATCTATTTTTTCCATAATTTAATTTTTTTAAGATTAATTGGTAACCCTTCTTTACGATTGAAGTCTATAATATTTTTTCACAACTCTCAAAAATGCGATAAATACGATAATATTAGTAATATTAGCTACGTGTATTAACCATTTTTTTTTTTTTTACAGAAAATTATTCTCTATTCGAGACTACGTGTCTAAAAGTACCTGCTCGTTAAAGGTCATATGAACGTTTTTGTACAGTAGTACGACCTTAAAACCAAAAATCGCCCGAGTGTAATTCAAAAGCGCTAAAAATCTGGTGGCGTATAAAACGCTTGACGGAGGGGGGGAGGGAGAAAACCAAAAAACGTCGTTTGACCGAAAGACAATTTCGAGGGTCCAAATTCTTGTCATTGTGTATGCATCATTATTATGTAGGTTTAACGCGTGTACTATAGTTTGCCGAGAGTACATACGGTTATATTATATTAATGACCCGAAGCGAATTAACCCGCTTCGAGTTATCGGATTTCAATCTCTCGTTTGGCACACGGTTTTAATGGCGACCGTTATTGTGCAGTGTGTGACGTAGT